AGAGTCCTAATTGATCTTCTTTTCTTGGTGCTGACCGAATTTCTTAGCCTATAAATAGGAAGGATGGCCGAAATTTCAAAGCACCCTTGAGTGGTCATTTTTGTTGTCTCTTTTGAGAGTTTTTCCTGTGAGGAATTTTTGTTAAATGGAGTGTCCATTTTTCGTGTCAAGTATGATTTAACCAAGAGGGTTTTCATCTTGTCTTGGATCTTTTGATCTTGCAGAAACCGTTCTTTTTCAAGTATGCTTCTTGATAGAATTGTTTTAAAACAAAACTTCTTATTTTCATACTACTTCTAGTAGTTCGATTGATGAGCCTTTCTTTTGGCTTGGTGTTCGAATTCATGATGTGTGTGTTCATGAGTTCCATTGTGGGGTTTGTTCTACTTTTGTTGGATGAGTTGTGCTTTGGCATAAGTATTTTGAGATAGTGTATGTGTTACATATCTTTGTTGGTTATGGAGATTACTAATCAATAATATTCCTTCATAGTTGAGCATTGTTTGCTCCTACCTTTCTTGAGTCTTTTGAATGATGACTGATCGAGTATATTGAATGGTGTCCTTGCTATTCTTAGTATGGGTTGTTGTTTAATTCGAATCTTTCATGGATAGTGTGTTCTTTGCTTGGTTTGAGTTAAGAGATAGAAATCACTTAGATAAACGATCGTCTTACTGTGAATTTTCCGCACTCTTTTGAGTTTCACGGGATAGACAAATTATCTTCGTACTTTCTTGTTTGATGGTTGCATTAACGAAATTTGCTTCATCTACGAGATTGTTATCATATTTACTTTAAGTGCATGATTATCTATATGTTTTGGTTTTACAGGAGAAGTATGGCACCGTGATGGCAAAAGAATAAGTACCTCAAAAAGCACTTATAACTAAGGAAAAAATTATGAGCCTAGAATAAAATGGATCCTGCACCCGTCAGGCATAACCTGTTTTGCTATTTAAGAAAAAACTAAGGAAAAAGTTTGGAGTATGCATAAGTATTTCAAAATTATTTATTACTTTTTTTTGTCATGGTTTTTTCCCCATATTTTTTGTGCTTTATTTACTTTTGTTGGATTTTTTTTTTAATTTTTCTTTATGCCTAAAAAAAGATTATTTATAATATTTGATTCAATTACTACAAGTAAACAATATATGTTTTTCAATCAATATATTTTAAGAATATATATGATTTAATTTCTATTGTTGAAAATAACTTTTATATACTTATATCACTAAAAATTTAAGATAATAGACAGTTGATCATATTAATTCGTATTTAGAATTTTTTTTTTTTTTTTGATATAGTAACACTTCTAAAGAGGAAACATCTTAGATAGTCGAACATATTAATTTGCATTTTAAAATATCCTATATGGCTAAGAAGTACTTAATCAAAGTGGTAACAGTATTAGGTCAAGTTAACCACAATCCATAATTAAATCTGTGCATGGGCATATAGTTGGAATAATGATTTTGAACACCGGATGCACTATATACCAAAAACGAAAAAAAAATAAAATTATATGACACTCTTGAATTTGGACTCTAAATGCTTAATATACCAAAAAACGGAAAACTAAAACATATGACACTTTTCACGGGAAAATAATAGTATATTAATATTACTCTAAAATATAGTAAAACCCGTACAACGTGCGGGCATAATACTACTATTTGATCAATTTCATCTCGTGAGAAGCTCCCCAAATCAAACCAAACCTCTCCTTTTTTTTTAATCAAGTCAATCCCAATCCAAGTATGAATAAAATTAGCCTTCAAATATAATCTCTTAAATATAGGAAATATCTTATAATTAATAATATTGGTTGGTGATCCAATTCACATATCATATTCCTTCCAATTTTCGGAACTCATTATTTGCGGGCCGATTCATATCATTTGTTGGACCGATACAATTGTAAAAATGGTGTCAACAGTAATTGTGACCGATGCTCCAAAATTAGAAGTAGTTCTCGATGAAACTAAGTATTTGTAGGATTTGTAGTGCTCGAGCATGTAGTATTGTATTTGTAGTGCTCAATGAAATCTGTGTTGTAGGATCAAGGCATCGAGCATATAGTATTGTATTTGTAGTGCTCTGTTTTTTTTTTTCATGCTTCATCGATGAAGAAGATTGCTGCTGGGATCTAACTGAGGAGAGAGGAAGATGGTGGATAGGTAAAGTGGTGATGATCCTGGCTTTTTAGTCCTATTTTAGTTTTCTTTTTTGACCAAAAGAAAAGGTTAAAATATTTCATACTACTATACTTCTACATTTATTTTATTCTTGTGGACTAAAATGTTACCGCTAGGCACTTACCAATTTTTATTTTGATTCTTTCTTACTTTATTATTATTAATGTAATTGCACTCAAAACCTAACAAAATGATTTCCAAAAAAAAAGATAATCGGAAAAGTCAGCCTTCCATTTTCATTTATTAAAATGAAACATGAAGTAGATTTATTTATAATAATTTTATATTTTACGATCCTATTAATTCGATCTTACCGATCCAAAATCCAATCCGATGCTATGACATAAAAATGCTCCCGAGTGAAATCTCGATTTTGAAAATTTTGGTCACCGGCATCTATTTTTTCAATGCAAAGTGGCTGCTGAGATCTTTCCGAAGATTCAGAGATGGTTAGGGCTCAGAGTATCAACAGAATGGACAGAATAAATGGGCAAATTATACATGGATAAAAGCGAGACTGAAGTACAAAATGTGTTGTGCAGTCCTGATGGCAGTTATGCATCATATATGGGGGAAGATGGACAACTGTATTATTGCAGGGAAGAGAAGAAATAGTGATACTGTGATAGGTTGTTGCACGAGGAAACTATCAAGAAGTGAAAGTAGTATAACTGATGAGTGGTAACAGAGATATTGGGATGTCAAGATGCTCCTGTTGCTTGATATACATATATTTACAGTTTTACCCAAAAAAAAAAAAAGGATAGGAATGGTGGAAACAAACAATATTAAAAAAAAAAAAGAAAGACACTATGCTTGTCTTCTTATTTGCTGGATTTACTCTCCTTGCGGAGAGAGTATAGCAAACATCCAACTATGGGTTATATCATTTACCCACGGTCGGGGTGGGGTCTTTTTTGCCATGAGATCTAGCTTCTTTCTTCAAGCTAGGTAAATCTTCATTATAAACATTCACTATTTTCTTTAACATTTACACTGTAGCTAGGATCGGCAAAATACAATAATACTTGCTTGTCTTCGTCCCATGAAAGCCGTTACATTATTCTTATCATAACATTATAGATATCCCAACTTTTTGTATGGACAATTAATTTCATGTGAAAAATCTTGCCCCATATATCTAGGTAACTTTTCCCATGAAAATTGGTTTTTTGGGCTACCTATACTTGCTTTCAATTTGATAATAAAAAACAATTTTTTATCACAACGGATAATATTATCGTGCTTCAACGACTGACATGGTCAAGTTGTTTAGAGTAACATGTAAATTAACTTCTTGATTTCCTGTTTCCGATGAGGTTGAATCAGCGTTAAGGTACCTTCTAACGGTGAAATAAGCCGGTTTCTTCGGAACTGCCATTGTTGTGCTTTCATTGTTAAACATAGAAATAACTTCAGACATGGTTGGCCTATCTTCTGCACTTTCTTGCACACATAAAAGACCAATGTGAATCGATCTTAGCAACTGCTTTATGTCACACAGATCACATAGAGCGGGATCTGTTAATTCTAAGGCCAACCCTTCTTTCCACAGCTCCCATGCCTGGAACAATCCCACCTTTAGTTTCAAACTTTTATTATTATTGTTATTATTATTATTATTATTATTATTGTTTTGTAGTAGTAGCTTTGCTTGAATTTTTTTGTTGCCAGAGAATAATGTAAGGACAACATAGATTAGCAAGCTTACATATCCTATGAGGTTGAGTGGGCGTTCCTCATCGAATTGGTGGAAGCTGGAATTTCTTCTACCGCTGACAATCTCAAGCATTAGCACACCAAAACTAAAAACATCAGATTTTATCGAAAAAGCTCCTTCCATTGCGTATTCAGGTGCCATATAACCACTGCAAAACAATGGAAATGTTTAAGCATCTGATAACTATAAAGAAAAAAGTACAAATTGCAATAATTCACATGCTTCTAAGAAGAGGAGGGATGTTACTATGTTCCAACAACTCTATTGGTCATTGCCTCTGTCTCGTTCTGCTTGAAGATTCTCGCCATACCAAAATCAGCAATCTTGGGGTTCAATTTTTCATCCAACAACACATTACTGGCCTTCAAATCTCTATGTATAACTCGCAGTCTGGAATATTTATGAAGGTACAACAGTCCTTGAGCAATACCTTCAATGATACTAAATCGCTTTTCCCAATCAAGTTGGTGCTTTTTGTCTTCAGCTGTCATATATATAACAGTAAGAATTGAAGTGCCCTTTTCATTTTTGGTGGATGAAAACTTTTGAAAAATCAAAACAAGGATAAGATTCAAGTTCTACAAACCAAAAAGGAAGAAATCCAGGCTCTTGTTGGGCATGTATTCGTAAATAAGCATTTTCTCTTCCTCGTGAATGCAACATCCTAAAACTCGTACCAGATTTGTGTGCTGGAGCTTAGAAATGAGTGTGAGTTCATTTTTGAACTCCACTAAACCTTGCCCCGAAGTCTTTGAAAGCCTCTTAACAGCAATCTCACGACCATCAAGTAATTTTCCCTGACATTAATTCATTGCACTGCCGTCTATGAACATCGGGTTGATACTAAAATCTACTCGGTATGATGATAAGTAACAAACTCACCTTGTAGACTGGTCCAAAACCACCTTCTCCAAGTTTATTTTCGGCTGCGAAGCCCTCTGTAGCAAACACTATGGAGCTGAAACTGAGGATGTTTAAGCCACCTTCTCCTTCCGTTTGTCGCATTTGTTCATTATCTTTGAAACTGTCTGACGCTGTCAAATGATGTATGTACTGTTCTCGCAAAAATCGCTTCTCTTCCCCTATCATTGCAGAACAGAGGAATGCTTTTCAGAGATTTTTAACAAGCCATGAATCAAGGAAGTGTGTGGAGTATGATGATGAGTACCTCGAGCTTTAGCCTTCTTACAGTAGACAAAGCCAATCAGCAACAACAGAGTGGAAACAGATACAGCCACAACAATCCAGATCCAGGCTCTGAATCTTCCTCCAGTCAATAAAACCAACCATTGATATACAGAGATAGAAAAAGCATTAATTCAATAATAATGAGACATCCAAAGCTTTCTGATTCTAACCTGTGCCGAGGCTCTTGGTTTCGGCATTGATACAATGGCGTTCGTTGGACCAATCAGTTTGACAAAGGCCTCCTCGGCGACGGCAATCGGCGCAATCATTAGAAATATGCCACTGAAGATCAAACTCACCACTCAATAAATCGAACACGTCCGGAACATCATCTGATTTATTGATGTGTTTAGAAATCGATTTGTTCATGGGATAATAGAAAGCTGAACAAGAAGGATCAATCTTTAAAGCTGGAGGTGGGCCGGTGCTTGGATATCTATGATAATAGTAAATGAAGCCGCCACATTCACCATAGTATGCGCAACCATTTCCAAGGAAAGAGCTGTTCAGTTCTCTAATCGTCTTGGGGTCTTCTTTATAGCATCTGAACATGGTGACGTTGTTCAACATGGTGAATGAAATCGAAGGCGAAACCGGAAGACTAAATTCATACCAGAAAGCAGAGCAATTTCGGGTGTTTATCCTAGACTGAAGATAATCGGAGTACAGGGTCATGGTGGAAACAGAGTTTTGTATGGATTTAGCTACGAACCACTGCTCCCCTGGATACCCAAGAGCCACCCTCGGGGAAGATGTGCCATTACAATCCACAAAGCACAACCCACAATCATGACGGGAATAATCCGCAAAAGGGAACGTCAATTTAAAGTTTCCACAATCAAAATTTTGTGGGCATGAAGAATTTACTGCCTCTCTTTGGGTGTGTTCTTGATAAGATGTAGTAAGTGATTGAAAGAGCAAAAGGATCGCGAGAAACAACCCAGGATCCATCAGAACTTCCCTCAAAAAAATATAGGATTAAGATATTGTGGTAACCATTTAGTATCTTCAAGTATTGATCGAGAAGACTGAGATGAGAAACAGTCAGTTGACTTGCACAAAAAAAAAGAGGTGTAGGATGATGCCTTGTTTCCAGGGCTAACTAGCATATCTACTAAGGATCATGAAAGGAATTCCTGCACAAAAATCCAATTATTACTCTCTTCATTATGAAATAATTAAATTTATTTCTGTTCCAAAAAATGCCCATATTAAATTTTTAATTTTCTATCAAAAGTAGTACAAACTCAAAAATTTTATGTGGATTAACCTTTTTAGGACAGAATAAATACTATTTTTTTAATATTACAGATAAATCGATCATTATAGAACAAAATTTAGAACATATAAAGTATGAAGCATACATGTGACAGAGACACAAAAAAATCCATCTTTTGAGACTTAGGGATGTTCCTTGCAAATTATTATTTCCTTCATAATCACTGTTCAGATCTTGTACTATTGTACTAACGCAACTTCTTCTTAACTTCTGTCTATTTTTACTTTCAATCATTGCGCTATATATGCATGATTGGCATTGGATCTTCTCTAATATTTTTCTGTTACACTCCCTCTTACACATTTTAATTAGTTTCTCTATATATTTTTAAATTTGAGTTGACATACGTAGGAAAATTGATATTTCTACCCATAGTTTTACCTTCGTTGTCAATCTTACCATATAGATTTTCAGTTAGCCAATTTTATCCTGTATGTTTGAAATTTTTACCAATTTTATCCAATTGGCTCAATTTATGTTAAACTTAACGACTTTCCGTTAGTTTATGATGGAGACCATCGAACTAACACTAATGGAGATGGACATGTTGCTGCCAATAATGAAGAGGACGAGCAAGTAGAGATCGTGAATGCTAATGGAGGATCTAAAGATGCTGCTTTAAAAAATAATCCTTACATCCGTGATCCACTCTCAAACATTGTTGGACCAATGCCTCGTGCTAGACGCAAGAGGATGGATGAATCACTTAATAGTCTAATTGTTACTACATGAGCTAAGGAAGAAATTAAGCTTAAAGATTACAAGCCCAAGACTATTAATTTGTTGCAAGTGGCACCAAATGGACTTGGTCCATTTGGAGGGAAGGAATCTCGGCCCTCAATCCAAGGAGAGACCTCCGGCCACACTCCTCATGGAGGTTGAATGGATCCCTAAAGTTTAGGGATGAGATCATTCAAATTTTATCTTTTTGAAAGATAAGACTTTATATCTTTAAAGGATAATATTTAGGATGATTCCTTTTATCTTTGCTTTTCGAGTTTTCCTACAATAAGGAGTCAACTCATTGATGTCTACTCAATCATTGGATAAAGACTACATCAAGATGGATGGTTAAGATCACTCTACAAAGAAAATGATGATAGAGCTTTTACTCAAGGGAGATTCTATCTCTTCGCATGATAGGAATGTTTTTATGAGATTATCTCTTTGTATTTTGAGTTTTGATTATTTCCTACATAGTCTTAAATGTCTTAAGACTAGTAAAAGTGTCTAGGTTCATTATCTTATCACTTAAATAACTAGGAGTCTTTAGAGTTTGATTTGATTTCAAATTCACAGAGATAGGAATAGAGTTGAAGAGTTGTGTTCTTCCTCTACTTCTTGGGTAGAAAATTCGGCCACCCCCTCTATAAATAGGGACCGAATTTCTCTTGTCCAACACACATTGTCATTGATATTTTTTAGTGAAATCAAATTGGTTAGGATTTTATTCCTTTCGTGGAGTTCTTGTGAGGACTTCTTTGTTTAGTTGTTGCATATGTGTTGTGACAATTATTAGACTTATCTATCTTGTTTAGTTCACTTAATAGTGGCGTCTTTAGCATTGGATCTTTCGAATTTTGGTTCTTAAGCTCATAGATATCATATCTATTGGGGTTTTCTACATAATTTTCTAACGGGTCTCTGCTTGGTTAGAAATAGCTCTCTTCATTCTTGATTTGGGTTTTACCATTGAACTCATGAATTAATCCACGTAAGATCAAATATCTTTTCTTCGTTTGTTTTTTGTGTGTTTTTGTGTCATTATATCTGAATTCTCCAAATTTCGCGGCCTACAAATCTCTATCTTTCCGAATTAGCAAAGTTGATCTTTAATTAAGATTGGTTTTGTCACATTGCTATCAATTTATTTTAGCAAAAAAACCACAAAAGTTTCAAATACTATAAAAAAAACTCTTAAATATGTAAAAATAACAAAACAATCTCTTTTCATTTTTTATTTATTTATTTTTCTATTTCTTTCTATTTTCGTTTACTACTTTTCGTAACCATTAAAATATACCATATAATCTTTAAAAAATTAATTTATTTTCTCCTTTTCATGTACTATGGATTTGTGTCTAGGGCTAAGTTATATATATTTTTTAAATTTTAAATTGTTGATTTTTTAAAATAAATTTATTTATTTTTTATTTTATATGGTTCTTGTTCTTATACTTCCTAACTACTATATATTTGTACTACTATAATTACTAAATTTCAAGAAATAATTTACCTTTTGTATTTCAATTTCTAGGTTATAAAAAATATATAAAAAAAATACACTGTTAAAGAGTGCATGGATTTATCTTTGTCATGAAATTCAATGATTGCTTGAATTGTTTAGCCATCGAAAAATTACAAATAATAATTACCAAAGGAATAAAAATAATGTTAACTATATTCATAGAAAAATTCATCGTCGTTGGCTAATTAAATTAGCAACTTTTCTTTTTTAAATGATTGTTTAATTTTTATATAATTTTTATTACAACGAATAAAATAATCATTTTAGGGTCGAGCGGGTAGAATTTATATTTCGTAACTTACCTGTGTATTATACTGAATTATGGAGGAAAGACTTGTCCAACTAATTCTTCAAGTTTTTTTTTAAAAATAATGGTAAACTATTATTTTTTAAAAACAATAATATTAATTTTCACGATTTATTCAATTTGAATTTTTCTGCTCTATTTTCTTTATTTTTTTTTTATAATATTATTTTTTCAATAATTATACTTGTACTAACATATACAAGTCAGGAAGTATAAGAAGAAGAATCGTAAAAACAAACAATAAAAAAATTAAAATATAAAAATTGTATTTTAAAAAAAATATATATAAAATGACAAAATTACCCATGATCTCAACTCACATGGTTTGCAAGTGAAAGTAGAGTTTGAAAAAATTAAATAGTTTGAATTGTAATAAAGAAAAATTGAATGAAATAGAAAAAAATGAATAAAAATTGAAAAGGGATTGTTTTGTTATTTTTACATATGTTGGGGGTTTATTTGTATATATATATATTTGAAACTGTTGGGATGTTTTGTTAAAAAAAAAAAAACTAACAAAAACTCTTTAAGTTTAACGAAAATAGAGCTAATTGGACAAAAATTCCAAACATAAAGGATGAAATTGACTAACTGAAAATCTGTAAGGTAAGTTTGTTGACGAAAGTAAGGTTACGGGTAAAACCGCTAATTTTACCATATATGTATCATAAAATCATATTTTCATTATAGATAATTAATGTTTACCCGTTGTATTGCACAAGAAATAGATGACTAGTATAAAATGTGTTTGGTACAAAGATAAGGGCTTTCTACTTGTTAAATATTAACAAATTTATTGAAATTTAACTATTATAAACCGAATCAAATTCAAAATTGGAAATTGATGGAATACAACTATTATTAAGTTAAAAAAATTAAAATTTGAAGAGTTTTAAGTAATAAAATATTCACTAAATATAAATTAAATTATAAAATAGTCAGTGAAAAATGAGACATTATTAAAATATGAAAAATATTGAAAATAAAAAATCACATATTTTTTTATATATTATTTTCTAACTAACATAATTAAATTTTAAAATTAAAATAGTTTAAGCAAAAGTTGTGATTCACTTTTACTATTTGCACCAATTAACTACAACCTTGTCAACTTCTTAATTTTAATTAATCCCACAGCAAATTACCACAAACTACCAAAACTAAATCATTAGTTCAAATTTATATGTTGATTCTGTTATACAATTATTATATGGGTGGTCATATTTTTTACTATACATTTTGATTGAATTTCTAATTGTACGTCAGTATGCCAAAATCATGTTGTATTATGATATATATATATATATATATATATATATATATATATATATATATACTAGGTTCTTGACCCATGCGAGTTATGAATTTAGTTCATTATATTTTCAAATATAATTAATAAATTAAATTTTTATTATGTCCTTTTTTGGAAAAAATAGTATTGTATAATAGTTTAGTCAATAATTTTATAAATTAGTTACTAAAAAGTACGCCAATAACCCAAAATGACTATGGTCAATTATAGTATGATATTTTCTTAAAAATAAAATTAGAGGACCCAAATTAGGTAGCTTTCCTCAAAGTGGGAAATAAAACATTTATACTCACCGTCATTAACTTTTTAGACCACATCAATGGTGTATTGAAATTAACTTTTTAGGGCATTTTTTATTTTTTATTTTTTGACCACCGCAAACTGCCTTTAGGAGTTCTTTATGGTATATAAAATTACCGTTCACATTTTATTTATTTATTTTTAATTTCTTTTTGTGTTTTAGATTAGAGCATTTTTTATTTTTTATTTTTGATCACCGCAAACTGCCCTTAGGAGTTCTTTATGGTGTATAAAACTACCATTTAGATTTATCTATATATATATGTATATATATATATATATTGCGTTTTAGATTAGAGCATTTTTATATATATTTTTTTTCGACCGCTACAAACTGCCTTTAGAAGTTCTTATGTGTATGGAACTGCCATTCGAATTTTTTATTTTTTTTTTAGTTTTTTTTTTGTATTATTCTTTTTGGAAAATTTGGAGAGGAGACTTTTAAGGAAATAATGATACTTGGATTTTTAAGAAAAAAGTGGTTTTTGTTATAATGGGAGTTATATATATATATATATTTATATTAATCAAATTTTGTTTTTTTAATCAATGTTACTCCCTCTGTCCTAAAATTGTTCTTCAAATTGAGATTTTACTTTTAGTACAATTTGAACTAAAAATGAAAATCTAAACTGGACAATAATTATGAGACGGTAGGAGTATATTTTTATAGCATATAATAGATTTTATTGTATGTTTATATAACATAAAAATTCAAATAAATAGAACCATGATCCGCAAAAAGTAAACCCGTAGCTCTAAAATACTCCCTGCTCCCGAAATTATTTTTCAGTTTGGAATATCACTTTTAGTAAAACTTGTATTAAAAATGAATATCCAAACTATACAATAATTTTAGGACAGAAAGGGTATAAAAAATTATTAAAATGCAAAAAATAAAATTTATACAAAATTGTTAAAATGTACAAAGTGCAACAACAAAGTGGTAAACATCCAGAAGCAAAATCTATTGTTTTCAAGATAACAGAGGAACATGCCAATTTTTTGCCATCAATCAAGGTTTTATGCATACACGAAAAGATAGAAAGGGAAGTACACTACTTAGCATTTTTCCAGTGCCCACTATTTACAGAATTTACATCCCGTCAAATGCTACCAACAATAGACTATTTTACAAACATTCGCAAAGTGACGCATAAGCTTCTTCTTCTGCGCCATGAGCAAAGTTACGTAATTTTTTTATTATTATTATTTTTTTCTTTCCAGGCTTCAATCCCACCCAACTACGTGGATTCGTGCAACCAAAATGTTGAGGTTCCAATTCTAAGCTTGAGTCTAAGAATAATGAACCACGACCATGGTTCAAGTCTCCTGGGGATATTTGGTCAATTATGACGTAACGACCATTTATGCCAACAAATCAGACGAACTTTGATAAATTTCATCAACATGAGCTGCAGGGACATATACTGCATCTCGCAATGAACTGTGGGTACGCCCGTAGGAGAAATATACAATTATTCCGATAGCCAACCATACTGATACACGCAGCCATGTTGCGGAACTGCAAATACAGGTGGAAAACATGAAATGTAAGAAAGAAAAGAATCATGAAGCTGATGATGATGCGGCACCATGTCAATCAGAAAGAAAGGAAACCTAGCCCGGTGCTTACCCGAGATTAATCAACAGGTAGACGTTGATTAAAATGCAGGCGATAGGTAGAAGAGGCACAAAAGGACAGATGAAACCTGAAACATAAAATATGAAGAGCACAAAACCTTAGATCCACGCCCTCCTAGTGAGTGTCAAATATAAAAGGAAACAGGTAAAATATTCTCCAGGGACAGCATCAACCAAAGCATAAGATCAAAGTCCTCTCCCTTATCCCCAAAAGTTACACATTGAGGTATAAATTATGGTCACATTACACACAAAACAATGACGCCATTTTATCTGGAAACGCCTAGCTCAAAAATACATTAAAGCCTACTTTGTGAAAATCTAAGGGTAAGAAGAGTATACCTCCCGAGATCCCAAAGCTATGCCTAGCTTCATCCTGGTCTATGGAAGTGAGGACTATCAGACCAAACAAAAGCAGAGCACCACCAAGTCCACAGAGAGTATATCGAAGGGAACTGATGGAAATGAACCATTTACAAATTAGAAGCTTTACAATTATGTTATCATAGATGAGCAAATAAGCATCCAGCTCAACAATCAAAAATAGAAAATACGCCCAGCTAACATATTGTTAGCCAGGATTCTCAGGAAGAACGAATGTGAAAGATTGTCCATTAACAGCCCCTAGCAAAAGTAGCTGAAGGCTAAATCATTATCCCTTTTTTCTTGCCCTTTCTTTTCATCATAAGGTAACTTTTGTGAATTTCGGGTGAATGGAAACTAAAACTCAGTTCAAAATCATAAATTGAACAACTTAGTGCATCCCTTCATCTAACTCCTAACAATTTTCAATAAGCAAGTGAAACAAGGATTTCATCACTTTGTTTAGGCATTATTTTGGTATTGAAGGCACAAAGTTAACAACCAAGACAAATAATGATTGAATGATTATCGTGTTCTAGATGCTTCATACTGATGGCTGGAGTTTTGTTTTTGGGCTTTTATGAAATAATTTATAATCAAATCATCTGGAGCACTTGAATCCAGATATTTATCCTCAAATTTCCCCTATTCATAGAGAAGGGGCTTAATAAGCACGGACAAGTTTGATTCCCATGCAGAGCTAAATGGTTACCCACCTCAGCAGACCCACATTTGAAGCAGCACATGTAAGGATAAGCACTCCGACACAAGTAAGCATAATAGTCCATCCAGCAACTTTCCTTCTGTTCTCTTCAGTTAGAACATCTATTGGAAAAGCAGATCGCCAAAATATTAATACATCTAGTAGTGTGTAAAGTTGTAAGAATAATTATTTTGGTAGTAAAAGAATCGTTGTGACATGAAATATGAACACTATTGGGAGTCTCTTTCTTTTTGGTTGAATCTTCATAAAGTTTAACACAGTTACAACAAAGTTTTAACAGGAATGGCAGAAACTTACAACAATGTTTTGAGGTTGCTCCCTGTAAGATAGGGTGATCAGCAGATGCATGCTTGCAAACCAAAAGTGGAGATTTTTCGTTCGTGGACATGCGTATTTTAGTATTCTCCACATTGATGGCCCCACCACCACTAGCACTAGAATAGTGCACTGCAACTGACTCTATTGCATCCTGAAAAGATGGCGGAAGTGGAACCACATCTGGAGGAACATATCTGAGTATCAACACCGAAATTGCAACCATTGTGAATGCAAGAAGTGTGCCAACACTCACCTGCTCATAATCAACAGCTTGAATCTTTCACATTTTCAGTGATGTAATAGTGGCATGAAAATAACAGTGTAATGTTCGACATCCGGTCAATACCATAAAATAGAATTTCATAAATTTAGATTCAGTGGTGATGCCAGTCCAATATTTTCTTTCCTATCTTGGACAGAATGAATTTCTACACATGAGTTTTCCCTGAGAAGCCCTGCTGGATACCAATGGAGGGGGGAAATTCAAGAGGGGAATCGAGCTCAAGACTTTCTCTAGAGAGCAAGAACGGCATACCACTAAACCTCAACTACATTCGCATCATATTTCCTTTTGCTATTGGTTTAAATCATATCACAGAAATTATTCCTTTGACTTTATATCTTTTCCACTCACCTGCTCATAATCAACAGCTTGAATCTTTCACATTTTCAGTGATGTAATAGTGGCATGAAAATAACAGTGTAATGTTCGACATCCGATCAATACCATAAAATAGAATTTCATAAATTTAGATTCAGTGGTGATGCCAGTCCAATATTTTCTTTCCTATCTTGGACGGAATGAATTTCTACACATGAGTTTTCCCCGAGAAGCCCTGCTAGATACCAATGGAGGGGGGAAACTCCATGTTCAAGAGGGGAATCGAGCTCAAGACTTTCTCTAGAGAGCAAGAACGGCTTACCACTAAACCTCAACTGCATTCGCATCATATTTCCTTTTGCTATTGGTTTAAATCATATCACAGAAATTATTCTTTTGACTTAATATCTTTTCCCCTCAACTTTTTTTCGTTAAATCAGAAAACAAAAGTAACTCCACTAGTACTATACATATATCGAGCACTTAAGTGGGGTATGTAGGCGGGGTTTTACCCACATTTAAGTGGCTGGGGTGGATTTTTTTTTTTTTTTTTTAAATATTGAGCACTTAAAACAATGGGAAAATAACAAGTCGAACTTTATACTCTTGCTCGGTCTCGTCAATGGTTTACTTCAAAGGTAGAGAGTATTGACAATCAGACAGGAGAAAACTGAAATGGTAAACGGAAAACCCCGTATTTACATCAGATGCCTAGTGAAATCCGTGGAAAAGGAACAAATCTTTAAGATATTGTTTCAGAAATAGCTAAATTGGGGCAATCAAATCTAAATTTATGTTTTTGACAATCAAACCAGGCACATTATGACAAAGGGAGAATGTCGCCGAGTGTTGTTCCTCAAAAATTTTGACTAATTTGGATTTGTTTTGTGATCATCAGAAAAAATCAAATGACAACTACAATTATAAATAAAGATAATGGAGAAAAACTATTTGGGTGGAACAAGTTAGAGGGAGAATAGCTAGCTGCAAAACTCCAACCTCCATAATGAAGTATTTGCCCATGTCAAAAAGAAGAAATCCAAAGGAAATTTTTGCAATACGAAAATAAAGCCTCCAAATAAATAGCACAACTGGAAACAAGACCTCTCAACCATTACAGAAAGAAAATGGACGGATTGTCAATAATGGTAAAATTGTAGATTCAAAAAATAACCTCCAGATGTAATGATGAAATCCACCACCTCGAAAAATGGAAAAGATAGAAGTTAATTTAGAATTGCATTTGTGAGTTACCAAGCACTTCTTTCTCTGCCTTCCATATTTTATTTAAAAAAAACAAGGATCTGAACAATTGAACCATTCATCTCAACTCCCTAGATAAGCATAGTGCACACTTCAACCCCCAAAAAGCCATTAACAGGAAAAGGGAAGATTGCAATTTCAAATGCATCTCCCCATAACAGAGATAGTTTGACAGAAAACTTCGACCCACATGGATGTTTGTCATTGCTGTTGTTAAATGCACCTCTTAGAATTTCCATTTGCAGTATCGATCTCGATAACCAAATGCTATATTTTAGTTAATCCATCTCAAAAGTACTTAAGTAAGATCACGTCATCCTTCAAACAATATAACAGGCTTTGATATCCAACAACTGAATAATTTCCTCTAACTCTATTCCTAACATATTTAGTCGAAAACTAATCCTACGGAGAAAAGGAACTTTATTCTTCACCAAGTACAACCTACTGATCAATCCTGCACTTTGATTGAATTGGCAAAGCTGTTTCACACAAATTTATCACAATTTCTGTACGTGTTTTCCAACACTTTAGGGTATACACAATGAAACTTTGGAAGTAAACTAACCAATTTACCAATGGAGTGTCTAAAGTGGATGAAAGGATTCATCTGAATGAAAAACCCAAAGGAAGAATGCATATAATGTAAAACACTATAATATCATGCCTATTATGTCGGAAAATACAAGGTTTAGGAAGCCCAAGCTTACCATTCCTGACAACTGCTCAACATCCATGAAAAAGGCTAAAATGCCAGCAAGCAAGCCGGTCACAATAGTGCTTTTGACTGGAACTTGTGTCTTCTTGTTGACATCTGAGAAAAATGAAGGTAGCAATCCATCCCGAGCCATTGCCATCAATATTCGCGGCTGAAAAAAGAGATACAAGTAAACTCGTCATAAGTTCAGAAATCCTATTACAATGCAATTAATCAAACTACTTCGTGTGAAGGAAAGTGCTTTGTTTTGTGTAATTCTGGAATCGTAATTCTTATTTTTCAATCACAAGAGAAAGAGAAACTATATCCAGATCGAATCCAATACTCAACCCTCTTCCTTACCATCATTACTGTTCAAAGATTGTATTTTAGTATTCAATTTCATATCCCCATCGTTTTATTTTTTTACCCTATTCCTCTTCTTAGGAGCAGTTTAGAACTCTGGCCCTCCGTTCTACAGATCCCAAAGTTAACTGCTCCATAACTCACTCAAGACACAATATGCAGAAGCATCTGACATCCTAACATCAATTTTAAATCTCAGCCACTCTATATTGTCAGTCAACTGCATTAAAAACAAAGAAGTAACATTCATTTCTTTGACTGGGCTAGTGTCTACCTTCCAGAGTGGAGTATTGACACAGTACAAAAAACTAAATGCAAGAAAAAATTAACTTTATTCTGAAACACAAATCAATGACCAAAAGTGGAAAAAAAAAAAAGGAAAAGAAAAGAAAACCATAACTGCCACAACCAAAATCAAAATTAGTAATTATTGATGTGCAAGATAAAAAGTCTTATAAGCTAGTACAATTATGTACCTGTGGCAAGATAGAACCTAACAATGTCGAGCAGAGAGCAGTACAAGCCCCCAAAGTGATTATATATCTGAAACAATATTGAATAAGGATTAGAAAAATATGATTCTCCCCAAAAGCAATTTATCCGACACAAATGAAGTCAAGGTGGAATTTGCTGACTTACGCCGCCCACTTAATCCCATGAGCAGCAAATGCAGATGAGATGGGAGTATCAGGATCCATTGCATAATAAGGAACTAATCCAACAATAACCGCAGAGACCAGCATATAGAGAGTGCAACATATAGACAATGCAACACCAATCCCAACTGGCAAATCTCGTTGAGGATTTTTCACCTGTTACAGATTTAAAAGTTTATGAATAGGATAATGTCGTGTCGATATGAATTAGGAAGGACTTAGTGCTTTACTTGGACAGGGATGTGAATCGAATAGGTTATGGGCTTGAGGCTCACAATGAATTTCATTTGGTTACTACAAAATGCTAACACACATCATACATTTCAGTATGATGGAAAAGCTGGATTATTCTTTGAATATAAATTTTAGTCACTACAAAATGTTAAGATATTTTTATTAGTTGACTCCCCGATCTTTTTTCTCATTCTTTTTCTTTCAATCATGAATAAAAGAAATAGGAAGATAAAATCCATAATCGGTTCACTGTCCCCAAAATGAACACACCTTAGGCACCAACAAGACAACTCCCATAACATGACTCAATTGCTTATTAGGAAGAAAGAATTTGGAGAAAATTGAGTTATAAATGAAGAGAGCGAAAATTTCACTTTAAAAAGGAAAAAACTTTAACGGCAAAAACAAGTACTTAAATTTTCATTGTGGAGCTTGAATGGAGAACAAAAAGTGATTGTATGTTGTCGTCTTTCCAGATAAGAGTTTACTTTCCTAGGGATTGACAAATGGTTAAAGTCAAACATTGGTAGAGTTTTCTTTAGCTTAAAAGTTTTATTATGTACCATCCTTTTAGTCTTTATCAAACATTATTGGTGAAGGCGTTAGGAGGGTCCATAAGGAAAACAAATTCAGGGCCTCAAAAGAAGATGGCTGGTTACGTTTCCACAAAAATTTTAGGATGGAAAAACAACAGAGGAACTCCACTAATGTCTTTCTAGTATTCGTGCTTCTAACTTATTAAACTTCCACGCATTTGAATCTTCGTGATAGAGGAATCTGCTCCATCAGGACAAGAATGCTTCTCCATTAAATTGTTCAAACCAGCAGTAGGTGCAGGATTTGCATGTACATGTATGAAAACCCAAGAATGAAGTATAATTACCTCTTCTGCTGCACTCGCAACTGAATCAAACCCAATGTATGCAAAAAACACCGTGGATGATCCAGCAAGCATTCCATCAACTCCGTAAGGAAAATAACTGATAATTGACAAAGGCTGGTAAACAAAAATGTTCCTCAAACAAAGTGCATAAAAATACATTAAAAAAAACCATCATACCCAACAGGAAGTTCATAGCCAGGCCATCCACTCTTGAAACCCAAGTATCCACCAACTATAATGACAAATATCATGGCACAAAGGTTTGCGAAGGTGACAATTCCTTGTACCGTTGCACTCTGACAGAAAACATGTATTAAATAGCAGGACGGGAATGGAATCGAAGGGCTTTTAAATGACGTAAGCTAACCGTCATACCTCTTTAATTCCTATACACAGAAGGCCAGTGACAATAAAAACTAAGAGTGCTGAGCATGGGTCTACAACAACATCAAGCCCAGGAATGGTTTGCCTGGCAAGAAAAGCAGGAAGGGTATCTGGACCTCCAAACAGCAAAGCCTAAGAAGAGCAAGTAGAATGAATTTTAATGTGTACTGCCCATAAACCCAAAAAGGACAAAAGAAATAAAAAGCATCCGATAAAGTACCATAAATTGGAATCCCGGTAAAATAAAACAATAACAATCTGACCTAAAATGATGAGGAGGGTATTAATGCTATAAACTCGAAGAGGGGCGTTGTACAATCTAGCTTGTTCATAAAACATTAGATTTCAATGGTTCAGATAAATCCACAACATGATAAAGCTAACAACAAACATAAAGAACTTAATGGTCATTGCAACGATGAAAGGAAGGATGCCAGGCAATAGTATGTTTCGACCATGATTACAAGGAGAGGATGAAAGCTGACACAATATGTAGTAGCACACCATATACAAGGCTAAGGCTTCATAAGAATATAGCTGGAAGATAAACAATGAGAGAATACATAAGAAACTCCAAGTACCAAATTTGGGGAAATGCCACGAGCAACTGCAGAACCTCCAATTGTGTATTCCAATATCAGTGCCCAGCCAATTAGCCACGCAACACTGCAAAACAAATGGAGTCAGAAAAGCACAAGCACATATACATGAAACCTCAAGAAAAGTAACTAGTGGCAGTTTAGAGATAGCAACATCAGACTAAAAATGTTGAAAGTTTTACGTAATCTGTCATTATTCTTCACAATTGACTTGCCTCTTGAAAATTCAACAAGTCAATTCTTGTTGTAAGAGTTGAGTTAAATTCAAACTACAAATGATTAATTAGCTGCAAGAATAAACATATTACCCTTCACCAACACAAATGTAAGAATAATGGTAGGCACTTCCAGCAGATGGGCAGCGACTAGCAAGTTCTGCATAGCAGAATGCCGAAAGAGCGGCGGCTATACCAGCTATTAAGAAGGAAAACGTAAGGGCTGGACCGGAATGCTCCCTAGCAACTGTGCCAACAAGGATATAGACTCCAGCACCAATAGTTGAACCAACTCCTAAAATAATGAAAGAATCGATCATTTGAATGAGGATGAAAGAGTGTCCTTGATCAATGAGAGCAAAACTCAAGGAGAATCAAGTAGAACCTGAAATGACAGTTCTTTAAAAATGTAGAGGAAACTACAAGCTTTAGAGCATAATAGGGAACAGGCAACAATAGGGTTCTCGAAAAAGAAAATCAAGAGGCGTACCAAGCTTATTAATGAATGTAGAAAGAAAGCAACATAATACGATTATCTAATTCTAAATTATGTAGGGGAACTCAAAGTCATGTATCAGGAAATTTACCAATAGCAATAAGGTGAGGAATCGTCAAAGCCTTAGCTAATTGATGGTGACCATGATGATGATCAGAAGCTGCAGAAGCTGAAGATGACGCCTTTGATTGCGTGGAATCCACCTGTTTCCTCCTTATTAGACCTTTCAACCATCCTCCTCCATTACCATCGTCATATCCATTCTTTTGAGAATCAGCATAACCCATACTCTTCCAGAGTAAAGGGTAAGAATTGAAATTAACTACCTTAAACATAGAAGAGATTTATCAGAAGAAATATCCTAAAACAGTAAAGGAAAAATTAAACTTCTAGAACGGTAGCGTAGATCAGAATTTATTTCAGAAAATTTCCAGAGTTTCACTGACTGATGTAGTACGTGAAAAAAGAGATCATCTCCATTAAACAAACAAGAGTTTCATGGAAAGAAACCTCTAAAAACAATTCAAGTATGAGAAACAGCCTCTTAAACAGAGTGACTCAGAATATGATTTTCCGAACTTTCAAAAAGCAATCAGTAAATATCTCTTGTTTCAATCCTCTTTTTTCTTTTTTTTTTTTTTTTTTTTTTGGGGTGGCATAAAGCCGTCTAACAATCAGTAAAAAGCTGGATAACTTGAAATGTGTAAACTGAAACCAAACAAAATTTGGACGGAAACAGTGATAGAACGATGAACTTTTGGAATTTCTGAGTTGACCACTCGAATCTGAATTTTCATAATTTCCAGAAATCCTCGAGGGAACAAATCATGTTTCAAATATGATTCTGAAATCTCTATGCAGCTTTTTCTTTTTGGCTAAACTGTAAAAACCAAGATAAATTTACATATACCAGTTATATGTTCTCAAGAAAGCATGCCAAGGAACAACCATAAATTATAAGAATCTTGCCTCTGAAAATAGCAAGTCAAATCTGATTTATTTTTTTCTTTCCTCCTCCTAATTTGACAAAGAGATTCTTACAAAACTAAATGCAGGATTCAAGAATTTTAATTTAATGACATACTATGTTCATCACAACACCTCATTTCTTTTTCCTAGCTTCCAGCCAACTCAACATCCCAACACCAAGAAATTTCCAAAATTACAGCAACACTTTGTTCTTAAAAGATCTTGCATTGCAATACCATAAACTAAACATGCAATGATAATTTCCCTATGCAGTTTTACCAGCAATTTTTTTTTTTAATTAAGTATATGCATGCCAATTCCTTCGAATGCTTTATCGAATCATAAATACGGAAGAGTGGGGAGTTTTTTCAATAAACTTGACCTTGTTTGATATAACCTTATAGGTGATGCTAGGGAGGTTGCGGTGTGTAGTTGTGTTATCAAAACTTAGAAGATGGGATGATGACAATGATGTTGATAAAATTTTGATTAGCCTAATCATGTCTTGATTCCATTTTTATCCCCTAAAAACTTAATAGTGTCCTGATTCCATTTACCTTAATGATAGTTAGAAGTGATCATTAGCTTAATAGCACGTTTCACTAACCAAAACACCCAAATTGCTAGTCGTCATGATCGCTGTAATCTTGCATAAATAACAAAAAGCTTTACTGAAAGAAAAAGGGAAAAAAATTCAAATTCAGGAGAAAGTTGTTCTCCAAAACAGTAGTTCCAGACCGAACACCGAAGTTTCATACAGATCCAATCAGTCATATTCAAAAACAGTATTCGGGCAAACCATAGCTCCATTTATAAAAGAATGTTTCAGGTTTTAGTCTCCTTAAAGTCATATTCTTTTATTATACTAAATAAAAATCAGATTTCTGTCTTGAATTCCAAAACCTGCAACTCCTCTTAATATCTAATGGATCACAGACGAAGCTTGATACCACCTGTGACGCCCCAACCAAATATACGGATGGCTCAGTTGGACACCTGCCTGACTCGTGTCAGGACTCAAGTATAAACAATGAATTTTATGACAATTTAAACCCAAAAAAACAAAAAAAAAAAAAGCCTACAACAAAAGTTTCTACACAAAATAGAACCTTGCCCATTTACAAAGCAACTAAAGAATGAAATTTTATACATTCATAAAATTATACAAGGATTTATAAAATTGGTTGTTCAAGTCCAGACCTAAAACTACTACTTGTTTAGGCTCCCATGCCCAATCCTCACCAAGGTAGCCCCACAATCGAGAGTCTCCACCCATATAAGTTGCAGATGGGGAAAAGGGGAAAGGGTAAGCTTACACCCAATGAGGTCTAATTCGGACTGTGTTATCATTTCCAGTCCGATAAACAAAAAAGTGCAAGTAAGTGTTCATTTAGAGATAAAAGGAAAGTTTCGTTAAAAAAAAAATGACATTGAACAACTAAAAGAAAGAGATGATCACAGCCGAGGCCATCAAGCACATCAGCACAAAGGATACAGGCAATCATAACCAAGAACCGCCAAAGACCTATGTGGCAATTCTAGGTTTGATTCCAAATAAGAGATATTCATGTCAGATTATCAGCAAAACAAACACTTAACTGTGGCCACAGGAATTAAGTAATTAATAAAGAACGTGCATGGGCACATCTTGACAGCCTTTTTGGCATCTTGACATTAACCTGGCAAATGAACTCGCGTGGGTATTTCTTCACAACCTTTGGGCAATAATACCTGACAAACCTAAGGCATCTCGGCATTAACCTAGTCAAATTCAATTTGGATAATTTCTTCACAACCTTTGGGCATTAATATTTAACCCTCAGGCATCTTGGCATTAACTCAGCACATTTCAACATGCGTCTTGCACATGAATCATCTCGACAAAATCTTGACAAATTCATGCCAAGTGTAATCACTAGCAACTTTCAAGGTAACATAATATACAATCAAGCAATGTAAGGCATGGACATGCAAATCCCGGTGTGATAAAGTACACAACTGAGTAGAAAAGAAATGATAATAGAATCCAATACCACAGAATTAGAAGACTCCTCTGATTTGCCGAACATAATTACAAACCCTTCTACTCCGAACAAATTAATTATTCACACTAGTGATCTGCAATTGTGCTATCTAATTTACTTTTAGTTAGTTCTAAATTCTCTTTTGGGAAAAGGAAAGTTTCCTCACAAGGAACTGACCAGAAAGCTGAAATATTAGAGCTGTGGTAATTATATTTTAACAAATTCTACAGCTATCCGATCTTATACTACTCTATTAGCTAGTACTACATCAAAATCACTTTCACCAAACTCTACCGCCATGTCTAATCATTGAGGTATGCATAGCTGTATCCTCCTTCTAATCAATTACCTCGTTAGTTGGTTCCCATTCCCTGCTTCCATCTTCATTTTATTTTTATTTGTTGTAAAGACTTATTAACTTTTACTTCTGAGTAAAGGGTTTCTTCTCCAACTTCATTCTATATAATTCGAACTAAACTCCCCCAGCTTATCCTGTTTCCCGCTGAAACAGAAACAATCCTCCATTACATTTCTTAACCCAAATAATGACAATATTTACATAACCAACAGCAATAACAATCAACATGACGAGGATATCATCAAGATTATGATCACCAAATTCCAAAAAAAGGGAGCCTCTCACTCTTTTTCCTTTCCTTCACGCCGCTAATAAAAAATTAGCTACAGAACCCAAACTCTTGATCATTCTTACTTTAAAGTCCAGGAGCAAAAGAAAAGGCAGGAACACAGTTTCAATTACTTGTCCCATCATCAGTTGGTCTAAATTTTCAATAATTTCAAAACCAAAAAATAAAATTTCAACTTATTGCTCAAAAATCCTAGAATCCACAACTCATACAGCAAGGATTAGCTTAAGCCATGCAGAACAAAAATTAAAACAAGCAAGAGAAACAACAAAATACCTTTCCTGTTCGTGTTTCCCCTTCCTCCCTCTCCGCTGCCTATTCCCCTTCTTCCTATATTTCTTCTCTTTTCTCAATCAGTAAAGCTTCAACTACCTATTTAATTAATCTATTAATTTATAGAACAAGAGGGAAAAAATTATCTTCTATTAATTTATTTGGGTGGGGAGGATTGGTCGAAGAGGGAAGATTTTCTGTTTCTTATCTTTATTTAGGCTGCCTGGGTCAAATAGAATTATAGAACCAGAGATCGGGCTCTTGTGGTTTTTCTTTTTTTTTTTAATTTTTTTAATCAATGGAAAACAATGGACTGATTCGGCTTTTGTTTTTTTAATCATGTTATTCAAATACTATCAACTCTCAAATTTTCAAGTTAAATGAATAACTTAGAGCGACTCACAACAAACAAATAAGAACAAGCACTTAGATATACTTTGCAAGGTGTACCTCATGGATATATGTAATATACTTTCATTCTACACAAGTTGATTTATTTTTTTTCTAATTTTCAGTTATACATGTATTAAATCCTCCAATTATTATTACATTTTTTTCTCATACATTTAATTTTAAACCGTTTTCTTTTTTGCTTATCATGTTGTCTTTTCTATTATTTTATTTTATGAGAAATTTTTTTTATAGCTATAGATTTTATTTGCATAAAATTGAATATGATTCATCATCGAGACTTATAAATCTGAAAATCAATTGGAGTAAAAACTTTGAACTGATTATAAATGAAATCTGGAGAATTAAGCGTCAAATATGGAAGATTTTAATAGATAATGATGTTTGTTTGGATGAATAATAGTATTCTTATCGATGAATAATGATAATATTGTGGATGAATAATGGTGTTCTTATAGTGACAAAGTTATGGATAAATAAATTTTAAATTTTGAAATGAATATAGATATCTATAAAAATGAATAACAAAGCAAATGTTGATGAATAATGATCCCATCCAACATGAATAACAATAATAAAATGAAGAATATATATATATATATATATTTGCATGATGAATACACATATGTATGGAATGAATAACACATTCAAACGATGAATGACACATCTTTATAAGATGAATAACATTATTTTACATTATTAATAACACTACTCATACGGTCTTGAATGATTCGCCAATGCTCAACGCCTATACGTTGATTGTTTGATTTCAGCAACTCTGCCAAATATTTGATTCCCGGCCGATCGAGTTCATCTTGATGAGCATTTCTTTGCCGTTGATCAAACAAAAAGAACATTACAATAAGTGAGATTTCACATTCAATCAAAACTCTATTAGTCATCAATAACAATGCTATTGAAGATGAATAATCATTTTGAAAAAGATGAATAAACATTAAAATT